CTTAGAAAATAATGTATTTTGATAATTACTTAAAAAAAGCAAAAAATATTACATTTGAAGCACAAAAGCTATGTGTAGATTCGCTTCTCKGAAGCATTTTTAATAACCACATTCTTTTAATGTGTAGATGTGAGAATGCCCAAAAAYACTGATGCCAGATTGTCATTATACCATTGTTTTGTTTATAGGAGAAGAACATTGTATTTGGAAAATACATTTTTAAAATTACCCTTAGGTCACATTTTCAGATTTGGATCTTTATTTTACATGTGTTTCTCTGCCAATATTCCCTCACAGATCATTTGACTAAAGAGAAATTTGACTGGAATRTTGTCCTGCTCTGCTCACTCCTTATTTAAGTAAATCTAGAATATGATGGTATAAATGATGTTTCTGATGTTTACTTTCCATGTGCCTGGTGTACAATTCTGAAGTAGAAAATTCTGTATGTCACCAGTGCAAACCCAAGCTTTAGCATTCATCTGGAAAAAAACCCCAACAATCTGCTTGTCTGGTTAACCCAAGTGTTCCACTTCATTTTGACAGTGCTTATTAGATCATGATTTCTCATGTTTAGTGTCCTTGWGCACTCCAGTGCCCTTGGCAGCAGATGGAATCTCATCTCTGGGTCACAGTGCTTGCATGCAGAAGGGAAGATGTTCAGTGTTTGTCTATTTTTTTTCATTAATGCCTTTCAGTTCTAGATAGTTTCACCCTCACCAGATGAAGTCGTGTCCCTGGGCATTCATTCCTTGTACAGTCCATGTGTTCTGCCACAGGCAAAGGGAGCACAGATTGCTGCTTTGGTTGTGTGTAATTTCAGAAGCATGTTGGACTGTGTGCAGTACTAATTCCTAGTGCTGCAGTGTTATTATTGCAGTGTTTTTGAACGGTCCCTTTTCAGGGATTTTCAGAGAGTGTAGTAGTGTAGGATGCTGTGCTTTAAGAAAAAGATTGTCARATGTACCTGTTTTCCTTCCAGTTTTGGCAACATGCCTTTCCAGTTGCAAGCACAACTAAGAATAAATTTTGGTGGAAAAGTATTTTAATCTATCTTAATTACAATAATTATATCCTTTATTTTAATAATCTAGTTATCTTTTTTTCTTTTACTCCTTTCTGGATTGCACATGACTTTTGCTTTTCTCCAGTTTTTGCTGATCATCTGACCTTTTAGCAGCTTTTTCCAATATTGATTACCCTTTGGGATGGCAGCCAGACATTTCTAGGGTGAGCATTTAGCACAGGGGATTAGTGGATTGTCCCGTGTTTACATACCCTCCCTTTTCCAGGGCTGCTCTGGTTCTGGGTTGCTCTCCTGGAAACTTGAAAATTAAGGAAGTGCTTCTGGTTCTTCTTTGCAGGTTCTATCTGGATAGATKCTTCTGACCCTAATTACAATGCTTGAAATATTAACCCTAATTATAATGCTTGCCTCCATTTTCTTTTTCCTATGTGGGACCAAATTTTATATCCTTGTGTTTTTGTTTACTTTTGATATGAGACTGGTGAATAACCAGTTGTGCTGCTGCCTTCAGTTGCTGGTGCAAGATAGATGGCTACATCTCTCTCCACTCAGCCTGAAGTACTTCCCTTGGCCTAAAATAATACTTGTTTCAATGGTTGTATTCAAGTAAYGGAAAAAGGAATTTGTGTATAGTGCTTAAAAATATTTCTGTCAGTAATAACCYGAAACTGAGTAGGAAAGAACATGTAACTTGGAAATATGCAATTTCTAATCTATAGTCCTTCTCTTATATACATTATCTGCTGTATGAAAAAAATACAAAGGAAACAAAACCAAAACCTGAAAAACTCCCTYTGGAAACGGGAGCAGTTCCTTCTCCTTTCTGGATAGCTGTCACACCTGGAGGGCAGGACAGGCTCTGTTGAGGGCTCCCTACCAAAGCTCTGGAAGAAACAAACCCAAAACAGCTGAGGTGAGRCCCATGGGATGCCACCTGGACAAACACAGGGCAAAAAGTTGCAGAAAATTTTACAGGCTTGATAAGGATCTAATGGTGCATTGTCTTTCCATGCAGGGGTTTTGGTGTAGTTTTTGACCAAATTGGCAAAACTGCTGCACGATTCAGTGTAATTTGCAGGCTTAGGGGAGGCCCAGCACTGGAGCAGCATGTGTTTAGAGGATTTGGATCAAGGTAGATTGGCATGGAGTAATAATAAACTCATGTCAATGTCAGAGGTGCAATATTACTTAATATTTCTTTCTTTTAGAATCTTTGGCACCACTGTTCCATTTTAGTGCCAGTAAAGTTGGGTATGCTGCTTTAATAGCCTTGTTTAACCTGGCAAAGCTAGTCTTACACCTCATATCTGTCAGTTCAGCATGCAGAGGGGCAGACCTTAGAAATCTTTATGTATTTCTTACCAGAATGTCCCAGTTCTGTGGATATGGCTGAGCTGGAGGCTGGAGGGCAGAAGTGCTGGACAGCATGATGCCGCTTTTTGATCCCAACTTTTGCCTTTTGTACCGTCGATGAAGTGGTGTGTTTTGTTCTCTGGGAATCTACAGATTCTTGAAAACAGGAGTTAAATGCTTTGAAACAGGAGTCTCAGTGTTGGGAACAGTAGTTGTTGAGATAACAATAGTGTAGAGGATGTTGACCTGGATCATATTAGGACAACAGCTCGTGGAAGTTCTTTTGTGAGGATAATCATAAAAGARTCCCAGCTAGAGGGGGCTAATATAATATTCTACTTGACTTGCTACATAACTTTTCATGTAAAATGTTACAGTTYCCATCTTTAATAGTTTAAGCTTTGTGATTGATGAAGTGCTACATGACTGAGGGCCTTAACCTACCAGCTAATTAGCATTTGTAGGAAATGTCATAAAGTCTTAGTTCTCATGTAATAATTGGAATCTGTACTTGGAGTGGCTGGACTRTGCACTTTAGGTGATATTGTCCAGTTTGTGTTCAATTAGAATGTGTTGCACGATTAATTGGATGCATTGCTGTTGGCTGTCTTCTAAAAAAGAGGAAATGTGCATGTGGTCAGGTTAGGAGTGTCTTGGTGTGAACAAAGGAGTGCTGCTCCTGGGCTGAGAGGTTTGCATGGTTATTGCTTGATGCAGGCAACRAGCAGRAAGTGCAAGCACATTGCTGATAGAMGATACCTWTGGATTTTCTTTTTTCATGGTTTAATCAGCTGGGAGCATGTTTTCATATTCCTGGAAAGGGGTCATGCCATGACAA